CACCAAAACTACCAAACAAATGAATTTAGACTGAAAGCTGTTCTTCACCTTAACTATAAAAAAAACTCTTCACAAAGCTTCCAGTGAACTCACATGATGTTACTATGCTGAAAAACACAGAGAGCTTCTTTAAACCTGCAGACAAACCATCCGCACAGTCTATAAAGAAACTGAAAACAAACTGGCAGGACGTCTAAACAGCAGGTGCAGACATCTTAATAAAACCTCACAGTCACCTTGTATGCTGATGATGCTCAGTTGGTTTCTAATGACCAAAAGATTCTCATATTCAAATTTGTTTGCAGCACATTTGGAATCAGCTAATAATCAGCCATTTTCTCAGAACATTTCCATAGAGAGCCACTTTGCATCAGCAGCACCATGCTCCAGTGCTCTGGGAGAGTTTATAGTCCTCACAGCTGAACACTGGATGACTGACAGCTGTCCTTCATCACAACAGAAATCCTCGTCCTCATCATCTAAAACATGACTTTGATCTGCGTCCTCATCTGGACTCTCCTCCTCTGCTGCTGCTTCACAGGTAAAGTCCAGAGAATCAAACTCCTCTCCTCTATGAACATCCGTCCCTCTGAAATGAAGCCCACTAAACCCTGATGCTGCTTTCTGTTTTTGTATCTGTATCCTCAGAGTCCAGAGGACAGGTCACAGTGACTCAGCCTGCAGCAGTCACCTCTGCTCTGGGAGCCTCCGTCTCCATCTCATGTAGAACCAGTCAGAATGTTTTTAATAACCGCCCAGCGCATCACAAGGTGTCCACTTCCTGCCATTGAGGATGTCCAAAGAAAACGCTGTCTGCGGCGAGCTCACGGCATCCTTAAAGACTCCTCCCACCCTGCCCACAGACTGTTTACCCTCCTGCCCTCCGGCAGGCGCTTCAGAAGCCTCCGGACCAGAACCAGCAGACTGAGGAACAGCTTTTTCCCCAGAGCTGTTTCTCTACTGAACTCTACCCCCCGAACTCTGAACTCTGTCTCTCTCTCTCTCTCCCTCTCTCTCTCCGCCCCCTGCTGACCCCCCCTTTCCCCTGCATATCACCTCACACCCATCATCCCCCCCCAGTTTAGGAACTCCTAAACTGCTTATATACACTGCTAGCACTCGAGCATCAGGGATTCCAGGTCGTTTTTCAGGCAGTGGATCAAACTCTGCCTTCACTCTGACCATCAGTGGAGTCCAGACTGAAGATGCAGCAGTTTACTACTGTCAGAGTGTTCACTATATCAGCAGTCAGCGGGTGTTCACATATTTTTTTATTGGTGATAACGTGGACAAAAAAACAAACCTACAAACATTTGCACATAGAAATAACAGCAAAAGCAAAAACCAATAACCAAACTAACAAGAAAACAGAAACAAATCAGTAAAAACAGCGCAACAGTAGAAAAGACATAACACATCAATCATACAGGCGAAAGATTGAAATGAGATATGGTGACTTCTGAACTTTTTTATGTTGAGGGAGGGTAATAAATGAGATTTTTAGATCTGGTGTGAGTTGCAGTTGATTCATCAAGGTCAGGAGTCAGGTGGGAAGTAAGGAGAAAACAATCTAAGAATAAATCAAAAATATATATATGTATGAAGAAAAATGATAAAACAATCAAATTAAAGGTATAGTGTTCATGTGACCATCATAGAAACAAAGAGGAAAATTTATATATCCATATATACATGCACATAGGTATACACACATACATATACATTCATACACACTCATGCAATATTTTAGAAGAACTGAAAAGAGGGGTCTCACAGGGACATCGGGGGGTCAGGCAAGAGACCCCCTCCACCCGACCCACGGCTCCCAACAGTAGCTGACAGCCCAAGCAGGATACAGACTGGACGGGTTAGATTAAATTTTTTCACTTGATTGAGAAGGTTGTAGATTGTTGTTGATTATATTAATTTTAGATTTAACTATTTTTTTTAAATTGTTGATATTGGAGGAACTGGTCCCTCCCAACCCGTATTTCTGGATGAATGTATTGAATGATATAAATTGGTTGAAAAGCCCCTTTTTGAAACAACGATTAACTTCAATTAATTTGTAGTTTGACTTTTATCCCCCAGTTACGGCTGCAACCTTCCTGGTGTTACAGTCTGAGTGAGTGACACGCCAGCTGCACACAAGTTGATGATTTTTCAGTGAAATTCATTGTCCTGGTCTTTTCTCATTCTTGTCCTGCCTTGGTCTAGATCTTATCTCGGTCTCTGAGCACTCTGGTCTCGACTAGTCATGCTGGCTATCATGGGTTTTGTTCATTATTACCGACTATTATAGAGAGACTAGAGCACAAAACAAGTTTACTTCTCATTTGGGAATTTATATAAAGAATGAAAAGTTATACCGTATTTTCCGCACTATAAGGCGCACCTTCAATGAATGGCCTATTTTAGACCTGTTTTTATATATAGGGCGCACCGGATTATAAGGCGCATAGAATAGAACGTGTTTACAACTGAACAAGGCTGGGAGATATTGTGAATATATAAATATAAATACGTATAAAACGTAACGTATAAAACTACAAAAACAAAAGTACATAAGACGATTTCCCCAAATAATAAATTATTTCTTTGACGTTTCTCTTAACTCTCAAAACGTAGTTTTATAGGTAATGCATTCACAATAACTCAACGTTGTTCAAACATTAATGTGCATATTCACAATATCTCCCAGCCTTGTTCAGTTGTAAACACGTAAAAGAAACAGTCTGATACCGCTAATTCAAACGTTAGTGCAGGGGTGCCCAAACAGTCGATCGCGATCGACAGGTAGATCGCTGACTGATTCTCAGTCGATCGAGATGTTTTGTCAATATAAAATACAATTGTAAAATAGAAAAGTGATTTCAATTTCATCTCATTGCAGTGTTTCCCACACACGATACCTGTGTTGGGAGCCCAAGTATACTTCCGACCTGTCTGTATTTAATTTTTCATTTATTCATGAAATTGCTGCGTGCATGAGAGAGCGAGCGGCGGAGATAGAGAGAGAGAGAGCGCGCAAGAGAGAGAGTGCAGGCATGCGCAATGACGTGCAGGTAAAACCGGGGGGGTAAATGTTTTACCAAAAAGTCATATATAGAAACTATGCTACGAGTGTTAAGCGCATTTTATGAAGCTGCAGCTACTTTTCTCTGCTCCTCTCTGCTGTCATGACTGTGAGCATCGAGGGGGACGAGATACACCAACAAACAGCGCAAGCGCACACGCACACACGCACACACACACACACACACACACACACACACACACACACACACACACACACACACACTTGCACTGGAGCGCCAGCCACCACGCGAACCTTTTTACTTTTTACTTTTAGTGCTACAGCACACAGTTGATCCGTGATCCGTACGGACCGAGGCGTGAACACACGTGATCCGGTCAAACAGTCGGTTGGACTTTACTCCGTTCACTCTCACCGTGTCTGCAGCTAATTTAACAAAAGCACAATCATCTCACAGCAGCCTGCTGTAGTCTGTAGTCTGCATTATTTTTTACAGAACTCTCATTTATTATATCTGAAATTATTTTCTGTTTGTTGTGTGAGTATTAAATGCGTTTGTAGGCTGTTGGTAAAGGCTATGGCTCACTATGTGGACTGGTAGATCTCGGCAGACTGGTAACTTTAAAAGTAGATCTTGGTTCGAAAAAGGTTGGGCACCCCTGCGTTAGTGCATAACTCAACATTGTTCAGTTACGTATAACACGTAAAGCTCACTTTTTCAGTTCATTCCCCGTCCACGAATCCCTCGAATTCTTCTTCTTCAGTGTCCGAATTGAACAGTTGGCGAGTACGGCATCCAACATGCCCGGCTCCCTCTCGTCATTATCCGAGTCAGTGTCGCTGAGCGCCGTGTACAACCAGTATGGATCAACCAATTAACCAATTGATCCATATATAAGGCGCTCCGGATTATAAGGCGCACTGTCGTTTTTTGAGAAAATTATAGTGCGGAAAATACGGTATCATTTGAAGTTCTGTGATCACTGATGACGCTCATCAAACATATTGAGGAGCTCAGTCTGAGTTTAAAAACAGTGTTTATGTCTCATCATGATGTGTTTTCACTCGTCCTTTGTGAAGTTATCATGGAGAAACTGCATTTCTTAATGTAGTCACTGGCTCTATTATTATGAGGTATCTTAAGACAGTTTGTGATAAAAGAAAAGAAAAGTCATTTTAACAACTTTGAAAAAATAAAAATAAAAGACAAAAAGTGTATTTCTCATTGATTTAATGAACAGATTTTTATTATCAGGAAACAATACACACACATATGAAGCAAAAAGCTAATATTTATTCTTTAGAAACATGAAATAAAGAGAGAGAGAGAGAGGTGCAGAGTGAGAGCAGTATCACAGTAAAACCAGCAGCAGAGTCCCAGTGAGGCATTACTGGGAACACTGGTCTCTACTCAGACTCTCTGAGACTGGAGCCTGGGCGCCCTGGGTGGCCTCACAGGTCACTGAGCCCACCTTCCTCCACTGCTCTGCAGAGAGCCTCAGGGTGCTGCTCCAGCTGTAGAGAGCGTCCTTCTCCAGCACTGCAGGGCCCCTGCTCTCCTCCCAGCTGCTGCTGCTGCTGCCGTCCACCTTCCAGGCCAGACTCCAGCCTGAGGGGAAGCCCTTGTTGGCCAGGCACATGAGCGTGGCCTTCCCCTGCTCCAGCTCCTTATTGGAGGGGGGCAGCACCGTCAGGGTGGGACGCACATCACCTATAGGAGACACCAATCAGCTTAGAGGACAGGAGCACACAACTGTCAATCAAACACCACACCCTATAGAACACTTTTAATGTCTGAGAGTTGATTTTCTTTTTTAAGGAGTCTCTGTCAGATGAAAAACCTCTCTTTGTTAAATATCAACCTGTTTATGTTTCAGTGTGACAGAAATCAAACTGTCCTGAGTGAACCTTCAAGGTAAAGCAGGACCGATAAAAACACGACAAGAGTTCATTAAAGTTAAAGTTTAACGTAGAATACAGAATAAATCTACTTTGTAGTTTTGTCAGTGTTTGAATTGCAGTAGCACTGGTTGATCAGGAAGGTCCAGTTCGCTCCGGAGACACCAGGTCCTCAGCCGATGGTGGAGACGAGCCGCAGCTTCCTGATGTCGGACAGATCTCTGCACCTGGAGGCCTCTCTGGATAAAGAGGTAACACACACACACACACACACACACACACACACACACACACACACACACACACACACACACACACACACACACACACACACACACACACTGTAACACACACTCTTTGCTGTTCTGTTAGATGACAGCTGAGTGTGTGTGTGTGTGCAGCTGTATTATCATGGAGAGCCGATCAGCGTGAATGTGCAGGTGACCAACAGCTCGTCTAAGACGGTGAAGAGGGTGAAGATCTCAGGTGATACAGCAGCTGATCATTATTCAATCTCTCATCTATCATCAAAGTACTGACACTACACCTGTGTGTGTGTGTGTGTGTGTGTGTGTGTGTGTGTGTGTGTGTGTGTGTGTGTGTCAGTGCGTCAGTTTGCAGATATCTGTCTGTTCTCCACGGCTCAGTATAAATGTGCGGTGGCTCAGGTTGAAGCAGAGTGAGTATCAAAACATTACACTTAGTTTCTCTGAAGGTTTGTGTGTTCATTATGAGAATGATGATGTGTGTGTGTGTGTGTGTGTGTGTGTGTGTGTGTGTGTGTGTGTGTGTGTGTGTGTGTGTGTGTGTGTGTGTGTGTAGAGGGGGAAGGGGCCTCTCCAGCTCCTCCCTCTTGTCCATATATGGTAACATCAGCTGGACGGTAGAAAGAATGCAGCTTTGAGGCGTCACTAACTTCTTATAGAGGGTCGATGGTTTGAACCCGGTTTGAAGAACTCCGTCTGATTGAATCCGTTTCTAAAGAGACATTATCTTTACATCTATGTGAATCTTTTATTAAGGTTATATCAGCACTTCAGTCACTTCTATCAATCTGTTGAACTTACAAACATTTCAAACATGACGTACCGCCCCTCAGGAGTAGGGGCGTGGCCAGAGGGTGGCGGGCCCCAAAGTCCTAAACAATGATTGGCTGTGACTCCAGTTCAAATCTAATAAAAGCTCAGAAGATTAACATGATTCCATATGATAAGTGGAGATAGAAAGGGTTAATAAATTAGTTAATAAACCAGTTCAACAAAGTCTGGACACGCCCCCTCTCAGCAGCAGCTTTCACACCTCACATGTTTTCTAAGAAGGGAACCTCGTGTTCATAGTCATGCAAACAGTGAGTATGTAGCGACTGAAAGAACTGATCGCTCATTCTCCCCCCCAGACACCAGGTGTGTCCCAGCTCCACCTCCTGTCAGGTGTACACTCTGACCCCGAGTCTAGGCACCAACAGGGAGAAGAGAGGCCTCGCTTTGGACGGAAAGTTAAAGTACGAAGACACCAACCTGGCCTCCAGCACCATGTACACACACACACACACACACACACACACACACACACACACACACACACACACCATATCTCTACCTGTGAGTCAGTGTTTCTGTCTTACCTGTGTCCTGTGTTTGTGCTGCAGAGTCAAAGAAGGAGCCAACAAAGAGGCGATGGGCATCCTGGTGTCTTACAGAGTCAAAGTCAAACTGGTGGTGTCTCTGGTAGGTTCACAAACTGCAGCTTTCTCAACATGAACAGTAGTCTAACAACTGAGTGCTGTCTGGTGGGCCACCTTTGGGAGGTTTCCTACTGTCATTGCAAACTTTGCTCATTTTGACCACAGTCTCTGTACATGGGCACATGAACTAACCGCTAGCCCACTGGTGCCCCATCTGTTTGTTTTTTTTTAAATAGTCAATAGCGAAATTTAATTAAATCTAAAGATTGTCATTTTTAACCAAAAGCAATCACAAGAGAGAGCATCTGTGGTCTCTTCATTTTCACAGGTCTGAAAATCCTCAAGTTTTAAAGTTCATCTGGTGTTTATGTCTCTTACAGACAGAGAGCAGATGAGGTGCCATCATCTTCACTGCACAAATACATAGGCAATGTTTCAGAACCTGACTTTATCAATATGTGTAATTTAGACACGATGCACGGCTGAGTTTGATGCAAATTTCAGGTTTGGGTTTAAGTCATTGTGAAAATATAAATGTATGGCAATAAATACGAAGAAAGAATTATGTAAACAGGCGATGCTTTTCTCAGCAGTTTTCCGTACCAGACTGTGACACTGCTGGTCAGGATGCTCTCGATCACACAATGGTAGAAGTTCATCAGTACAGCTGAAGACAGGTGGTGTCTCTTCAGTGTCCTCAGGAAAAAGATGCGTTGATGAGCCTTCTTAACCAGACTGGAGGTGTTAGTGGACCAGGAGAGGTCCTCTGTGATGTGAGTCCCCAGGAACTTGAAGCTGGAGACACGTTCAATAGCCATCCCGTTGATGTGAATGGGGTTGTGTGTGCTTCCTCTTTCTCTCCTGAAGTCCACGATGAGCTCCTTCGTCTTGCTGGTGTTGAGGAGCAGGTTGTTGTCAGCACACCAGATGCTGTACCTCCTCCCTGTAGGCTGTGTCATCGTTGTTGCTGATGAGGCCAATCACCGCCGTATCGTCCGCAAACTTGATGATGTGTTGGATTCATGTACAGGTCTGCAGTCGGGTGAAGAGGAGTAGAGGAATGGGCTCAGCACACAGCCCTGTGGTACGCTTGTGTTGAGTGTGATGGTGGTGGAGCAGGTGTGTCCTGTACATGAAGGGAAAATCTCCAAACGACCTGTTTGAGCACACATTTTCTGAAAAGTGGAGCAGGCGAAAGACTGAGAGGATGGACTTTTCTCATCATTGGGGGGTTTGTAGACAGACTAGAGACACATCTTAGAGTTAGAGGAACATGGAGAAGTGGATTCTGTATAATATGTGCTCATGGTCTCGGTCAGTCTGCTCGGTGTGATTAACTGAATGTTTCTCTGCAGGGCGCTGTCAGACACGAGGCAGATAGGCAAGCTGACCAGAGAGCAGTTTGCCCTCGCCATGTATCTCATCCAGCAGAAAGTCAGCAACCCTTTCTGCTGACATGTTTCCCCCTCAGAGAGAGGCACACCTGTACCAGTAGGTCACACACACACCACACCACACACACACACACACACACACACACACACACAGCAGATGTTTACTATAACAGAGTGATTTAATTACATCTGGGTCTCAGGGGTGCTGAGGGTGGTCCATTAATCCTCTAGTGGAGGATTAATCCTTTTAGCTTTTCTTGTCAACATGTTGAAGTCACTTGACCATAAACTTCTCACGATAAGGACCTTGAAACTGAAGAGGTGGCTCAGAAAACTCTGAAAGCATCACAGACAGTGGGACTCGGGTGTTACAGTCATTGTAGACAGTCATGACTCACAGAGTTATTTTCAGAGGATATACTTGATTTCTACATGTAAGTGTGAAAAATCACATATAAAGCCTTTAAGTATCTTCAATTTAGAAGCTTTATTAGAACAAAACAATATAATGTGCTTACCAAACCCTTGAAATCAAACTTGGAGAAAATAATGTCTAAAGACAGTTTAAGCAAAGGTGCAATATCAGAACTTTATAACCTGCTAATGTCCAGCTCAACAGAGAATTCTGATTACAAGTGGAAAGCCTGGAGGAAGGACCCAGAGCCGGCCCTAACCATTTTGGTGCCCTAGGCAAGATTTTAGCAGTTGCCCTTAAATTGCAGACAGTTTGACCACTAATATATTATATTCATCCACTTAAAGAAAACTGGCATACAGTTTCATATTTAACATCATTCATTTATTTTAAAATAAAAAATACTTATAAATAAACATGAATAAAATGGTTATAACTCTAATATTTCTTGTAAATAAATACAAATAACTAGTGTAATAGAACAAACAATATCAAACAGTGCAGGAAGCAGAAGTGTTCACATGGCTGTGAACTGCTCAGAGATGCGCTTGAACGGCTCCTGGATGGCTGTGTTGTTGCCGATCAATGTCGCAGCCATCTTGAGGCCACGAGGAGGATGTCACAGACAGAGGTCATCACATTATCAGGGATCCATTCAACAAAGTGGCTGCTGTTTTTGTTTCTTAAGCTAAGCATGTTTCGTCCACCTTTTTCATGGACATGCGGCCACGGAAGATAGCAGCTGCTGTCAGGTAGCGGCCGTGACGTGGGTCGCAGGCAGCCATCATGTTCTTTGCGTCGAACATCTGCTGGGTGAGCTCTGGTACAGTGAGGGCCTGTACTGCTGCCGCCTCGCTTGTGAGGGAGCGAAGCCTGGAATGAAAAAATGCAGACGGGAATGGCACCATGTTTACAGCCAGCTTCCTCAGGTCAGCATTGAGCTGTCCGGGAACATGAGGCAGGTGGTAAAGCCGCTCAGGCCAAGACGAGTGAAAACACTCACTTCCTATATTTCGCATTGCGCGCGATTACTTCCACCGAATAAGATTTAAATAATGATTTTAACCACTCAACGGTCAATCCTATCCGCGGTGGTTAACTGATATCTAACGGTTGAGTTCTTCAAACAAACCGGCGTACAAATCATTAACACAATTTATCGGATTTGTAAATTAGGTAAAATCGATTTATATTCGTTACAATTCGACGCATCACAACCCATAAGGGCAGCTCTTGAGATTTAAGGTTGAATTACACGTTCACAAAAGCACAGAGGACGCGGCGTATCTTTTCTAAAATACATCGATTTCAACCGCACAAAACACATAAAAAGCTGTCCTAAACTTGGTACCAATCTAGTTTCCGCATTGACCGACCTGGAGAAGCACAATTTCCCTCATTTGTTTTTTTTAGTTTGTTTTCGTGAATGACTTGTGTCTGTTAGCGCACCAACGGCACAACCATCTGTTTTATACTACAGCTGAGCCCCGCCCTCTACCCCTCAGCTCGAACGTTGGTTGGCTCATTTCTTTACGCTTGATGTACACGAACAGATTTAGACCAATGAAATCGTCCCTGTCTTCTCCACTATCGTCCAGTGTGTCTGTCAATCACATTCGTGTCAAACGTATGACTACCGTTAATCTGTCGACGTTGGCCATGACCTTGCCTACGTCCCTCATGATGGCGGAAAGATATGCGACACCGACAACAGATTTAATTCATTTCACAAGCGTGTTAAAAGAAAATGAAACTCATTGATCAGCTAATCTTAATAAACAATTTGACTGTATCTAGTTATAAAATGTTGAGTGAATTTTAAATATTTAAAACAAAAATACACTGTTGGTCTACTAGATATTAAAAAATATTTAACAGCTAAAAAGAACCAGAACCATTTATGAAAAAAAAATGTACATCTATAGTGAAAATATATCTTTGTATCTTAAACTGCATTCATTAATTTTTCACTTTGACTTGACTGTGATAACTTTTTTTGATTCATGACGATTTTATAGTTTTTATGTATCCTACTTATAAC